ACGCCTCTATCAACGAACTCTAAAAATATTTGCATACGTACTTTCCAAAAAGGATAATTTTGACCCGCAAAAGTGGGGGTCTGTTGATAGACGTACCTTCGGCAAAAGTTTGATTTTGTCCGGCCATTTTTGAAAATTTGAATGACTATCAAAGCAAGCTCGATACCACTTGTTAGAATCGCGCGATGAATGTTCGCGTGGTCGGACAAAAACCAAGAGGGGGGTGAATTGGTTACTTAATAAAAATTAGGTTTTCAAAATTTTCCCCAAATTTTACCGATTAAAAACTGCGTAAATGTAAATAGAGAAGAATAGAGAAGATTACACAATAGGTTTATACTCGGTTCGGATCAAAAGACCCTACGTCCGAGTTGCTAATCACTCAAAAGAGGATTAACGCTGTCACTAAGAACAAAGTTGTTACAACACAAATTATAATGAAAAAGATAAAGTTAAAGATAAAACCTCTCTTGAAATCCACAAGAGATGATAAACGAGCTTTCCCGGAGACGGACACAGCACACAATCCACTAAGAACTCCACTTAGTGATTCTTATCGCTTCTAGCCTCACACCAAGTTTCCAAAAGCCCCGAAGAACAGCTTTCCCCGAGATCGGCACAAGCACTCAATCCACTAAGAACTCCACTTAGTGATTCTTATCGCTTCTAGCCTCACACCGAAGTTTCCAAAAGCCCCTTTCCTTGCAACAAACAGTTCTCCGGCACTCACAGACACTTAACTTTTGTATGGAAAGAGTTGTTCTTTAGTTGTTCATTGTTTCGAGAGCTAAAGCAGAGTTTAAGTAGGGAAATTAGGGTTTAGGAATTGAGGATTTCGAAACTAGGGTTCTTAGTAATTGGGTTTTCGAAAATAGGGTTAATTTGAAATTTAATTTGAAAAACAGATCGAAATAATCGATTATTTGGAGTAATAATCGATTAAAACAGAGCCAAATACTTCGAACCCAACCCTCTCTGGAATAATCGATTATTTGGTGAAATAATCGATTATCCGTACTGGACAGTACAAAACAATCGATTCTTTTGCTTGTTTTAATCGATTAAAACAGTGAGTTTGTATAGAAAGTGTTTTCTCACTTGTTTTAATCGATTATTTACCTATATAATCGATTAAACCCGAGCCTGAATGATAAATTTGAGCTTTTTGAAGCTTCTAAGTTACAGACTATGTACCGGCTATCTTAGACTCTAAAAATACAGACTCAATCTTAAATAAATCAGAGTTATTACAATACAATTATCACCAATCTTCAATCTTCAATATTCTAAGTCTTTAGTTCTTGGATCATCATCAAAATCCATTCTTCATATTCATCAAGTGCAACATCAAGTCCTTGAATTGTCAACAATGTACTCAACTTATGTAGTAAACAAAACTATAACATCTTATAACTTAAAATACTAGCTTACTACTTCTTCTATAAGTGTAAACACATAACCAATAGTAGATAGACATCCTTCTTAGCAAGATCACCTATAAAATCTGAATCAACATAGTCTTTAACAAACTTGTTTTGATCCTCTGATACATAATGCAACATCTAAGGTTCCTTTGATAAGGATATCTTAATAACACTTCAAATGAACGTTCATACTAGGAGGGACAATCATGTAGACATCTTCCTCTAAGTCTCCATGCAGAAAGGCATTATCCACATCAAGTTGTCTCAAATGTCAATTCTTTGTGGCAACAATGGCGAGAAGCATTCTAAAAATAGTCAACTTGGCAACAGATGAGAATGTTTCAAAGTAATCAATTTATATCCCTTTGCCATTAAGCAAGCTTTGTATTGTTCAGTAGTGTCATGAGAAAAAGCAAAAGACCAAAACACAAGGAGGAAGATTGGAATGAAACAAAAGGCTCCTAGCAACATTCATGATGTGTTGATGCTTTCTCTCCACAACAACATTTTGTTTTGGTGTTTCAACACAACTAGTTTGGTGTACGATGCCCAAATTATTATACAAATCATTCCAAACAAATTATTGTCCATTATCATATCTAAGAATTTTAATTTTCTTATCAAACTGATTTTGAACCAAGATAATGAAATTATGTAGAGCATTCTGGTTTTAGATTTATGTTTCAGCAAAAAATTTGAGGTATATCTACTGAAGTCATTAACAAATGTGAGAAAAAAATTTAAATCCTTGTATATATGAAACATCGATAGGTCCCCAAATATCAACATGGATAAGATCAAAGATATGAGTAGTATTTTTGTTACTTTTAGTAAAAGGAAGCCTATGTTGTTTGGCTAAATGCTAGGAATCATAAATGAAACTTTTATTAAGGTGAATGTAAGAAAACATATTGCAAATACGATCAACAACTTAATTTGAATGGTGCCCAAGTCTATGATGTCAAAGATCTAGATCACAGTAAACATTATTATCAGAACTAACAAAATTAGCAAGACACTTTTTATTTATTCCCTTGTAAGTAACAAAGACCATTGTGTAATTCAACTTTCCCAATCATCCTTTGAGAAATGATATCTTGTATCTGACAAATCTCACGCAAGAAGATTAATTTACAATTTAAAGAATGTATCATACATTGCACATAAATTAAATTGAATGTGAACTATAGTATGTAAAGAACATTGAAAATATAGAGATAATCAGAGAAATTAACAGTTCCAGAATAATGGGCAGTAACTTGTGATCCATTGGGAAGGTGAACTAAAACAAGTTTTATTTTGTGAAAACTAGTGAAATGCAAAATGGTATATGTGGTATGATTAATAGCCCCAATATAAAGAACCCAATTTATATTTTTACCTTTATCAAATGAAATAATTTGTACTCATATATTGTTAGCTCTATGTGTAGACTTATTTGTTTGTTCTTGCATAATCTTCAACAGTTGTTGAACCTGATCTTGGGTGAACTGCATGTTGACCTTTTCTTTTATTACTTGTTGATCAGTTTATGAGTCTTCCTCTACTTTGTTTTCACTGTTGTTAAAAGCATTACTAGAGAAAAAATTATTAAAAGTATGTTGTTCATTCTTATGCTTATACCAAGGTGGGAAGTCATATTTTGAATAACATTGTTCAGTAGTATGATTCATCTTGTTACAGTAACTACATTGCTCTCCAAAGTGAGGATTTCGTCCTCTTCCTTTTGCTTGATTTCTCAGGTTATTCGAATTACCCTTTCCTTGTGATTTCCAATTGCTTTGAGTATTAGTAGAATTAATAACAAACTTATTATCAACCATAATACCACCTGTTAACTGACTTTTTTGTTGTAGTACAAGAGAAAAAATGCGGTTAATTCCCGGTAGAGGTTCCATTAGCAAAACTTGAGTTTTTATGGTGTTATAGGCTTCATTCAGCCCCTTCAAGAAACAAATAACATGATCATAATCCCTATGTTTTATTGCATTCTTTAACATGTTACAAGTGCACCTAGTATCATGAACGCATGTGAGTGTGGGATGCAAGGCTTCTAATTCTTCCCAAGAAATCTTCAAATTGGTGAAAAATAATCTAAAACGCTCCTTTATCCTTGTTTTATTGAGTATATTTCTTGAAGCAATATGACATCCTAAAGTGATCTCCTTTGGAGAACCTCTCTTTAAGATCATGCCACAAATCCTTAACGTTATCAATGTAAACCACGCTCTGGGCAATGTGATCAGATATAGCACGGGTAATCCAATATATAGTCATCGTGTTACATATTTCCCAAGCATGATATAATGCATCTCTTTTTTCAGGCATAAGGATAATGTCATCAACGAATTTTAATATTTTCTTTTTTAGAGCAGTCACTACTAGAAAAATGGTTAATAGTGACCGAAATTAGTGACCAAAAAATTCAGTCACTGATAGTAACTGAATCAATGATTGATTTTCCTTTTTATATTTAGTGACTGATTTAATGACTACAATTTCAGTCACAGAAATCGGTCACTGATTTGGTCATCAAATCGGTCACTGATTCGTTCGCCGAATCGGTCACTGATTTCGTCACTGATTTGGTCACTACTAGAGAAAATTGTTAATAGTGATCTAAACATTCGAGTTACTAATAATAACTCGAATGAGTGACTCGATTTTCATTTTTATATTTAGTGACTCGATTTAGTGATCGGTACAAATAATCTCTAAATTAGTGAGTATTTTTCATTTATATAAATATTTATTAAAAATATTTTAATATTATATTAAATATAAATCTACTTAATAATTTAAAATAATTGATAACATTTTTAATAACATTATAAATATTTTAAAAAATAGTTTAATAACTTATTAAATATATTAAATAATTTAGTAATATAATTTTTTTTAATTTAATATATAAATAAAAGAAAATAAAATTGATTATTAAATTAGTGATCGAACCAGATCATAATAAAATAAAAAATATACTTTTTCAAAATAATAAGTAAAAAATAAAAAATATATATAATTAAAAAAAAACAGTTAATCTATTATATTTTACCCTAATTTTCTTAACCATCATTTCCCTCATCTCTCATTTCTTCCTGACCCATGCAATTCTCTTTGTGATCATGTCCTCACTCACTCGGTTTTTCCTATAAGAAAATATTTCTTAATTTTATAAATAGTATTTGTTGGGAACCATAGTTGATTTATTTAATAAAAGAAAAAAATTAAAATTAAAACTACACATAATTAATAACTTTAACTTAAAAAGTTAAAAATCAAGTCTATTTTTTTCTATTATATTTTTATTATCTAAAATTTAGAACAAATCTAAATTATGATCCTTTAAATAAAATAACAAAATATTTCCGTCCTGTTTTAAAAAGAATAGAGAAAACAAAATTAACGGTCTAAATATACATTTAAGAAAATGAATCTTTATTCTTAAATTTAAAGAAATATTTTTGTAAAAAAATTAGATAAAAACTGATTTAATCATAAAATATAAAATTTAAGGGCTTTCTTTGTTCCGTGCAAAATGGTCATTTAATTATCCATCACTGTTATGCATAAACCCTAATGAATAAAGCAGAGTGGATGAGAGTAACCACAACATAGTACAGAACGCGGAAACCCTAGAATACAAATCCCTAATCGCCCAAGGGCAAGAGCTTCGGCGGCGATCTCCTCCTTTTCTGCAAAGAAAATGGTATCGTTCCCATCTTTCTGCGTAGTTTTTGCTACATGGGCATTCTTCAAAAGTTGCGTCTTTCTCTTTTGGCAATTTCAAGTTGTTATTTTTTTTGCTATGTTTGGGGAACTGAGCTTTACTATGGTCTTAACTGCAGTCTCTGGTGGCAATCAAGGAGTTCCAGCACATTCTGCGTGTGCTAAACATGAACGTCGATGGGAAGCAGAACATTATGTTCGCTCTTACTTCTATCAAAGGTATTGGCAGGTGATTCCTCGGCAACCCCACAGCCACCGCGCCATCCTGCGAACCGCCTTCACCCTCGACCCTCATTAAGCCTCCAATCCACTCTTTTCTCCCCCTTCATCTGCGCCTTCATCACAGGCCCCTTTGTACTCCCTTCACCATGTAGCCAATGGCGCCACAGCGAACCCTTCCACAGTGGAGCCATCGTAGGCCATACTCTCCTCTTGAAGCCCTAGCTTGCACAAAACCCACACCTCCATTTTTTTCGATTGCAGCTCCTCACCGCGTGACCATCTCAGCCCCACCACACCTCCATCCTCATACGCCACCGATTTCCAACGCATTTCTAAGATTCATGATAAGCTCTTCATCGCTCTCTCTGACCTCGCCACTGATGCTCAGACTCTGTATCCTTTACTCTCCCTTCTTTATTCCCTATTATTTATTTCCCCTAAAAAAATCTATTTTTAACTTTTTTTTCTCATTATTTACTTTAAGGTATCAGCGTCTGGTTTTCCGGCACAAACTGTATCAGCTTCGTCAAGAGAGGGGATATGAAGTCGGAGACCTTTGCCAGCTTGGTCTCTGCCTTACTCTATGAGAAAAGGTAATGTCATTTAGATCTATGAGAAAAAAAAACTATTCTGGATATCTCTTGAAAGTTTTGATTTTTTGGTGTTGTTATTAATGGGGTTTTCTTAGTGGCAAGGTGTTGTCAAGCTGATGGGCCGGTACAGTGGTAAGTTTCTTGTAGGCCTGTAATTCCTCCACTTATCAGATTAAGCATTTGCATCCTGTACTTCAATGGCATAGCTATGTTAAACTCTTTTCTTGATGTAATTATCAAGCCTAACCTCCCTTCAAATATGCTTTATTATGGATTCATGGCGCAGGGTTTATTGCAATGTATGCTACTCTGGCTAGTAGGGATGTGGACTGTTGTTTAATTCCAGAGTCACCCTTTTACCTTGAAGGTCCCGGTGGATTTTTTGAGTTTGCAGAGGAAAGGCTGAAAGAAAACAGCCACATGGTTATTGTGATTGCTGAAGGGGCAGGACAGGAACTGGATTTTTAGAGTATCCAATCCATGCACAAGTAGGATGCTTCCGGAAACAAACTTCTTCAAGATGTTGGGCTTTGGATATCCCAAAAGATAAAGGTGTGGATTGTTTTTTATGCTAGATATCTCAAATGTGACTTTTGACGGCGTTATCCTATTCATTGTTCTTTATTTCAGATTTTGGTTAAGCTTAGGTTGCATGTTTGAAACAAAGTTCAGTGTCCATCCAAAATGTTGTCCATCGTTTTTGGTTTTCAATTGATGATTTCTTTATAAATCCTTGGAAAATTTGTTCTAAAGAAGCATTCCCATTTGTACTTGGTTTATTCGAATCTAAAAATCTGACAGGCTTGAAGGATCTCGTGGAGGACACATGATAGCTGATGGATATGTAGTGTGAAAAAATATGCTTAATTATTTTCTAATTGAAGAAATTATTTATGAAGAAGTTCTCAATCACTTATGTTAAGTACGTTGAATCTTTGATCTTGCAGGAGTATTTTACCAAGCAAAAGACAATGAACATAAATCTCAAATATATAGGTTTGTAAACATAAAAACTAAATAACTATGTGCATGTGTATATGTGTACATGTTCTGAACGAAAAGAGGTATATTATTGTGTTGAATGCTTTCAACATGCCTCTTATATATGTGTACATGTTGATTGCGCAATCGTGTGTTTCAGTTGAGGAAGTCGAGTGGGGTTATGCTTATATGGAAAGTTGAACTTTTGCAACCATGGAATGGAGTGGGGTCTCTGCTTCCGTGGAAAGTTGAACTCTCTCCAACATGGAGAAGACAACGAAAGCTTGCCATGGCCCAACTAAGTTCTTTGCAGAGGTTTGTGCCCTCTTTTCATCAAGACACAATTTTTCCACTACTATCATTCATTCTTTAACTTTCTTATGCAGTTGTATAATAGTATCTCATCACTTTTAATTCACCAATTAATCAACCTCTCATATAGTTTCACTAGGAGTAGTGTGTTTAGATACACGTTAAACGTATGCAATTAAGGATTCATTTTTATGTGATTTTACACTAAACATACAATATAATCACCAACAAGATAGGAAAAAACCAGTGAGAAACAAATGCAGTACCATTATTTATGAAACTTACTAACTCTTTTATGAATATTTATGAAAAGATTTTACCTAAATGTTTCTAAAGTCAACGTAGTTATAGGGTTTTAATAGTTTATATAATCTTGTTATCGTAAAGTAAATTATACTTTACTGTCCTTTTGTAAATATATACATATTACTCCAAAGTTTGAATATGTTAGTGTGATATGTGGACTGTGTTGATTTGATTTGTACATGGACAAGGTTTTGACTTGCACTATAATGTCTGGATTGTTAAGGACCCTGGTCTTTGAATATGTTAGTGTGATATGTGGACTGTGTTGATTTGATTTGTACATGGACAAGGTTTTGACTTGCACTATAATGTCTGGATTGTTAAGGACCCTGGTCCTAAGGCTTATGTTAGTTTTCTGCTATTAACATCCCTCGTAGTTTAAAATTTTACATGTCATTCCCATACCCTAAAAGAAACACCTTGTACTTGTGACAATAAACTTTTGTATTTATTTGTGCTATTTTTTTATTATACAGACTATTTTGCTTAGTGGCTGCAACTTCAAAACTTCACTAACTGTTTTTAGGTGACTTTTTCGACTTATTATGATTATTTATGGGATTGTTATTTATACATATTCTAATTATTATCCATTTCTTTTTAATACAGTTGTCAAGTTCGTGCGGGTTGTAAAGATCTTCAATCATCTTTAGTGTGTGTTTCAACTTCTTGTGTTTCAAATTGTAATTTTGCTAGTGTTTCAACTTCTTGTGTTTCTAATTGTAATTTTGTTATTATTGTCAATACAGTTTTCTATATTTTTATATTGAAATTTAATGCGTAAAAAAGTATATAATTGTTGATGGTTTTATTTTGATGAATTGGTCATTGAAATCAGGGAAAGTGTGGTCGAATCACTATTTCTATATGTTCTTTTTGTTAGTGACTGATTTTAGTTATTTAGTAACCAACTATTTAGTAATTATATCGGTCATTGACCGATTTGAGTTGGTTATTATTTTAGTTAGTGACCGATTTTGGTTTCGGTTATTATTTGATGATTTTGTTGTAGTGAGTGCATGCTTTATCGACCTACTCCAAGAATGATAGTTACCTATAATCAAAGCAGGACTAACTAGCACTATTCCAGGATTTTTACCCTAATGCAGAAAATATGGACTTACAGGTGCATGATCCATGATTTTTAAAGAGAAAAGTCTCCAAAATTTAAGAAGAAAGAAATAAAAAGATTTAAAAAAGAACCTGGTTGGATGTAGATCTCATGCGGAAGACACAGAAGAAGAAAAACACTTTATTTTCATGCAAAGGAAATGATACAAAGCATACTTTAACAGAAACAAGCTTATGGTTTATATAAAACTGAAAACTAACTTAAAAACAAAAAACAACTAAACTATTCATGTGTAAAGGGATTTCATCTCATACAATTTAATAAGACTCCCAAATCTCTTTGTTGGAAAATCATATTTATCAATGCTAAGTGCAAATATGTTATACAGTTATAAATTTTATTTCATATGTGATGTCCATAAGTCTTTTGCTAATTATATATACACAATTGTTTATCTTTAGTTTTCACAATAAAAAAAATTGTTGAAATTCTTTATCTTGTATTTTGTTGTCAACTTATGTCGATTTCATTAAGAATAAATAGTATTGTCTATTAACTTAAATATCAATTTTTTCTTTATCAGAATTTTCTTAAATATGTTTTATATTTAATAACAAAAATAATTATTTTCTGACGGGAAAGATTATTTTAATTACAATTTAGATTTTTTTAATATTATTTTAATGACTATAATAATAAAATAATAACACAATAAAATAACTCTGATATCACTATTAGAAATAAGAATAATAATATATAAACTAAAAAAATAAAATCAATAATAAATAATAATAAAATTTTACTATAAAAACGAAATTTAAAAAAAAAATAAAAAATAAAAGAACACAACAGTTATGCACTGTACTAACAAGAAAATAATTTTAGAAAGATTTACAAAATAAATATTATGTTATTTTATTAAAAGAAAAAAAACTAAGCAACAAATCATATTTTTCCCGATGCTTTTCGTCTCAGACATTCAATAGGAAATACTACAATTTAAAACTACAAGTATTCTACTTGTCAATGTAATGGAGTGGCATTGGGGTTTTCCATGACTTGTATTGATCTCTTGGGAGACGCTGACATGCACGATAGTGATGCAACAATTGGCTTCACCTTCTCTTTAATCTTGATAATAACCAAAAATAAAACTCGATATACAACAATCATCCCTGCCAAGATTGCAAGATCAACCCACTTTGAGTAACTCATGTCAACTTGCCATATATTTCTCAAGACTTCTTCACCATTTATGTGACCGTGTGAGCTTCTTCCATCATTGGTAACAAATCTTAGTCCTTCATATTCGTTCTTGAACATTCCTTGGTTGGCAAAGGTATGAAAAGCAACATAGTGTAAAGGGTATTTCCAAACTGGCTTGGGAATATCGTTTGGCAACTTAAAGAACCCAGAGACTAAAATCATGATTCCTTGAATTCCAGCACCAGTTATGATGCCCATTAGATAGTTGGGAACAATGCTTGCAACTATCATCATAAGGCTCTCCACTAACATGAGACTTGAAAATAAGACACAAACGAAATACACAAAGTGATCCCATCCAACCTGAAGACCTGGAAGGAAATAAGATATAACCCCAGGAATGAATGCAACCAATAGCAAGTATGGGATACATGACAAGGTGTTTCCAATCACAAATGCAGTGACACCATAATGTCCGTTTTGTCTTTCTCTTTGAAATACCTGCGAACGAGTTATTTTAGACTATTTGTTATGGAAAAGGAAAACCTAATATGATGTACAATGTTCTGAATTACCTTCATGACTTCCACGAAGGAAGGGAATCCACCAATGGTCATGAATGTCAAGAATCCGTTTATATATGCAACAAGCGAACCTCGATCCTGAAATGATCAAAAAGTGGTTGCGTGATTAGAGGACAGTAGAAAAATTCAGAGGCAGTGTGATTATAGTTTGTATATGTGAATCTTATCACACTCTTCCGTACTCTGCCTCTCTTACCTTAATTGAGTCATAACTTGTGCCCAAATTATAGAAAATAGTGGCTAAACTTATAGCCAATGCAACGTATATGGCTAATCGAAGCCAATAATAACCAAGATCACGATACATGTTCACAAAAGATCTTTTGGTAAGAACTGAGCATTGATTAAGGAAACCCGCATGCCCTCTCTTAATATCCAATGAACTGGTGTCCTGGAACCAATCAATGTTCATGTTAACATAGGCATCTGCAATGTTAGCATCTATTAGAATAGAAGCATTGAGGGTAATTACCTTCTTAGATAGTAAAGCTACTTCATTTTGAACTTCTTGATTCCTTTCACATGATTTGTATGAGTTCACAAGAATGTGGATTACTTCTTCTGTGGGTATGTTTCTAGTTCCAGCTAAACCCACCTCAATGTCCTAATAAAATGAAAGGACGTTGTAATTAGATTATTGGTGACTAGAATTGTGTTTGAGTATATCTTGCACTGAAGAGAAAAAGCACCAGTGCCATGGAAACTTGGTCATTTTAATTACCTGATCGAAATCCTTGTTTATAGTTTTCAGTAAATGATCAGATGGATTCATGAGAGGAGGACAAGGAAAGCCATTCGAAGCGAAAAACTACATTGAAGAAAAGAAAATTAGAAATGAGCGTAAGAGTAGTATATGAAAAAGGTTAGTTTAAATTTTAGTCCCTAACCTCACTTGCAGCAGAAGCAGGTCCAAAGTAAACTGTTTTTCCTGAAGACAAAAGACAAAGGTTATTGAAGAGTTGAAAAACTTCAGTACTGGGTTGATGGATTGATGCAATAACAGTCCTCTGAATGTGGTCATTTTGAGCAAGGGAAGCGATTCTTCTCATGACATAATATGAAGCTGCACTGTCTAGTCCACTAGTTGGTTCATCAAGAAACAGAAGTTTAGGGCGTGTTAGGATCTCAATGCAGATGCTGACTCGCCGCTTCTGACCCCCACTAATCCCTTTACAACCCCATCCTCCAATCCTTGTGTTAATGGCATCTTGAAGACCCATTTCTCTGATTGTAAAGTCTGCTATCTCTTTCTTCTCTTCTTTTGACATGGTGTCAGGTAATTGGAGCTGAGCTGAATAGTGCACTGCTTCTCCAACCGTTAAGGTTGTCAATAAGGTATCATCTTGTGTGACATATGCCTGTATTCACAACATGGATTCAATGAATGGAAGTGACTTGAAATTAATTACCCATTTTGATCATGGCTGTAAGATTTTGTACTTACTGAGGTTCCATAAGTCAAAGGTTGCTTTTTACCATTGATCAAAATCTCCCCGATTTGCCTCATCTTTGAACCTAATCTCCCTGAAATATGAATTCATACCGTTGATTTCTGCCTATAAAATAAATTTATTCTTAGACAGAAGAGTGATGAAAGTGTTTTATTCCTTTAATTTTCCCTCTGATTTCCCAGTTCACCCTTTCTCTCTTAATATTGGTTTAATTTTGTACTCCGGAAAATTAAAAGTCTTCTTATCATGTATCTCTTTTTCCACCATGGGTTGACAAGTAATTATCTCATTTACAAGAGAAGAAACTTCCATGGAGGGACAGTTTCTTAATTAAATATATTTTACCTTCCAGGATTATGGGAAACAAGGTTGATTTTTACACCCTCTTCTATCTTGTATTTCGATTCAACAATGGATTTGATTGAGTGAAAAATAAAATTAAAAAATAAATTATTTGATAGAGAAAAAAATATAAAAAATAAAAAGAAAGTAATAAAAAAAATATGATTGATTTTATTAATTAAAATAATATTTTATTATTTTTAAATAAATATATTTCTTATTTTATTATTTTTTATTTAATTATTTATTATTATAATAATTAAAAAAATTGAGACATAACTCATTTGTTATTCACTTTTTGCCTATGAGAAGCAAAAGAAGGAAACCTATTATTTACTTTTCCAAACCTCGACTTCTATGTTTGCTCCACAAATCAACTTCCTCTCACATTCTTCGTAGATTCAAACACAACATTAAAGATGATTAAGGATAGCATGGCATCAGGGCTGAACGAGATGAATTTTGCTTTCCCATCGTCTTTCCAACTTTTTTTAACCGTTCTTCTCTCTGTTCGACATTCGTGATAAAAAATTAAGTTTTCATCCTTGAGTGCGTTTCAGATTTTTCCACGTCCAAGTCCTTAATTTATATTACTTTTAACAAAATAATTATATTTATAATAAATTAATTTTACTATTTTTATATATTTTATATATATAAATAAATATTTATAATTTTATAATTTGTAATTATTATTAATTAAATATATATTTTTTAATTTATTATATTTATATTAAAATATGTATATAAAAAAATATTTAATTATTTTTTCTTTATACAAATATAGAATATTTATAATAATAATAGTATTATTATTATTATAATACTATATTCAATAATACTTATTATAATAATATTATTATTATTATTATAATATTATATTCAAATATTTGATTATACGTACAAGTTAATTTATTTTTAAGTTGTCATTTAAAAATATGAAATATATAATTTATAATAAAATATTTAATAAGTTAATTCTTATTTAATTAGTTCGAAGCAATGAAAGTTTAAATTATCAATTATTTTTAATCCTTTAAAATACAATTATTTTATTAAAATAAAATTTGATATATAACAAATAAGAATAATAACGTCCAAAAATTATAACATAATAAAATCTAATAAATATAAATTATAAATAAAATAATATTAGTTACTATTAAGATTTATGTAAAATATTTAGAAAAAGATAAGAAGAAAAAAATTAACTTTATGTTGATCAAATTGGTTGAAAAGATTGAAAAAAAATTAATTAGAGAGATTAAGAAAATGTAAAAAATTGAAAGGTAAGAGAAAGAGAATAATGTAATAAACTAATTGATATAAAAGATTAAAAAAGATAAAAGAATTGAAAAGTGAGTAGAAGAAAAGTAAGAATGGTGAAATATAAAAAAATGACCTTATATGCAATAGAAAAATAAAAGAAAATATTTTTAAAATATTAATATTTTAAAATTTAAATATAAAGTTGAAATGGGGACGGAGCCGAGGTGGGGATTGCATTACCTATCCCCGCCCTTGCTCCCGACTTTTTAAAGCGAGAAAAACGTGAACTCGCTCCACTCCCGACCAACTCAATTTTTTCCTGTGAAACTCGGTGTGGGAGGATTGGTCCCACGAGTATGAATTTATTTGTCATCCCTATTTAAAGATAATTAATTATTTTCCTCCATGTAACCATTTTTTTTTAAGAGTTGGGACAGGTTGGTTAAATTTGGTTTCACCATACGAGTCAAGAAAAAAAATTGATAATTCAATCTAATTAATATTTTAAAATAAGTCATAAATTTTTAGTTTACTTTAGTTTTAAGTTAGATAAACAAACTAACTAATTAATTTTAGTTTTATTAAAAAATTATAAAAATTATTAATGTATTTATATTAAAATAATTAATAAAAAAATATTTATAAATAAAAATAAAAAACTATATTTTTAAACGTAAATTATATTAATAAATTAACTTTTATTTAAGATATAATAACTTAACATACAAATTATAAAAATTGATTTATTCAATCTTAATATAAAAGTTAAAAATCCATTCTTCATTATCATCATTTATTTTTTTAATAATTTATTTATTTAAAATAGTAATTAATCTTAACCATTAGATTTAAAACAAGTAATTATTAAATATTTATTCTTAAAATAAGTAAATTATTTATCAAATTAATTTATAATATATATATATATATATTTAATTTAAAAAATTATTATTATTTTATAAGACAGATTAATCACTTATATGTTATATGTTACTATGTTAACCTAACCTAAATTCATGTAAATTATAACTTAAATAGATCACATCAAAATAGATTTAATTCGATTTAAACCATAATTTATCAAACATAAACCTTAACCTTATATTTGTTGAAATAAAAATTTATAATATTATATATTATTAATTTATTCTTTAGTTATCATTTTCATATTCAACTTCTGTCATAATTTACTTTATACAGAAATAAAAATTTATAATATTATATATTATTAATTTATTCTTTAGTTATCATTTTCATATTCAACTTCTTCAGTCATAATTTACTTTATATAGAAACAACTAAGTGCAAAATGTACGAAATTCTTTGATTTATTTTACTTATTAATATTATTATTATTTTCAAGATTAAAACTCCATATTTTTCTCTTCAAACTGAAGAAAAAAAATATATTAAAGGAGACAAATCTAAGTATTTATAATTGAGATTTTTCACTTAATTAAGCTAGGTGAGATAATTAAGTGACTCTCACGATCTTTTTACTTAATAATTATGAGAATCAAAACATGGAATTATTTTTTAAAAATAGAAAAAGTAGTAATTGGTGACTAACCACACATTGAATTTGTTATCAGATTAATAAACGTGGTTAGTAAAAAGATTTTATAATACTATGAATAAAATAAAAAAATACTCTTGATATCAATTTTATAGTAGTTACACTCATAATAGTTAATAAACTTGTCATACATAAATTTTGAACGTATAATGGTATAAAAAGTTCAGGCTGTTATTTTATGTATTATTTAGGGCATAGAAAAATTGCATATTTGTTCATACTACTCCTTAGGAAAAGCTAAAATGAATAATAAAGTTGATAAAAATTGTACAGGACCGAATGTGATGCAGATGATGAGAAGCTTGTGGTGTATACCTGCTAAAGTATCAAGTAGAGTAGATTTGCCACAGCCAGAGGGACCCATTATTGCCAAGAGTTGCCCTGGTTTGGCATAACCAGAGAGACCCTCAAGAATTGGTCTGCTTTCATTCTTTCCATTGGAAGCACTCACCCATACATCCTTCCATGTCAAGCAGACACCCTCACTTTCATCTCCATTCATCTTCATTGCACCTCTACAACCTTCCATCTCTAGTGTGGTGGCTTCAATGTCTATCACACTTTGTTGGAGTACTGATTCTGAACTGGGTTTGGCTTTATTAGCACATCTAGGGGCAGATGAAGCAGATTCATCATGAATGCAAGCCATTAAAACGTCGTAGATGGAGGGTCTGTGAGTGAATGGTAATATCTAACTGCAGCCACAAATGTGTATATATATATACAACAAAGATACATAGATTTATTGTGTGGTAATTTAACTCATGTTTCATATTCAACATGATCGATACATGTGTTTCCTACTCAAACACGTGTGTCATATGTCGATTGTGTAATAACTTAACACAGTTGCAGATTAGGTAGACATAACTAATGAGGGGGGAGAAGAGTGGGAGTTTTGCAAACAAAATGTGGTATTGATTTAGACATTTGCAGTACAATTGAGCCTTGAGGTGTTGCTGCACCAAACATGGTTTTGTTTGTATTTCCGGATTGAACGAGGTTGTCACTCATGAATGTGCACCACAAATAATAGACAAGTCTTAGAGCGTTTCTAAATTTAGAGCTGGTTTTTTTTTTTACATCGGAATGGGACAATCGAACAAATTAATAAAATAATAAATATTATAATTATACATAAATAAATAAATAAATAAATGTTAATTAGTTGCTTGTGCTAAACCCAATAGTCAATCAATCATTCTTGATCTAAATTTTCACATCGGCCACATAAACACCAAGTGAGTATATTAATTATCAAATAGTTATATTTTATTTTTTAATTAGAGATTTCTTGTTCAAATTTATATAAAGAAAAAAACTAATTTTGACAACTACATCTATCAAACATCTGTACATTTTAATATAATAATAATTTTAAATTATTTATATTTTTATTATTATTTTATAATTATTATATTAATAAACCTATTTATCTATGGTTGTCAATGTACCAGGGCTCTCATCTTGAAAGAGGATCAGAAGTCTCACCAAAATCAAACTAGGTTAATTGACTTTTATATATATATATATATATATATTAATAAATTTTATTGATAATTATATATAAAAAAAATTCCTTTCATAATTATAGGATATTTTTGTTAATACTTTTTATATAATCAAGAGAGGTGGAGCCTGGAAACAGGGGAGTCAAAGTAAAATAAAATAGTTTTAAAAAAATAATCCAATAAAAATTATAAATTAATATTATATATATATATATATATATATATATATATATATATATAATTTTAGGAGATCATGATTTGAGTTTATTGATCATCAGAGAATAATATTTAAAACTAATATAATATATTATTATAATTATTTTAAAATAATTATTATGATTTATATATTTAAAAATAATAAAAATATGAGAGAAAAAATATAATATGTCTAATAATTATAAAAATAATATGAAAGAAAATAAATGTATTTTAAAAAATAGCATTTTAGAAAAATAATTAGTCTAATAATTTTTTATTAGATTAAGATATACATATTTGTAATATTCGATCAAGAAAATAGGACTTGAATGAATTAATAAGTATGTTTTTTTTCTAATTTGAATATATATATATATATATATATATATATATATATATATAATTTTAAAAAATATATATAAATATATTATAATATTTTAGACCTAGCAAGGCACGTGTCACTGTTCTTGTACTTGCTTCCTCATTATAGCATTGTCTATTAGTTTTAGTCATAATAAAAACACATACACTTTTACTTTATATGTACAAATGATTTCAAAAATTTATTAAAGGTTCTTTTCCGCATGTCGGTAGGCCTAATTAATTAAAATAGGATGTGTAATGGATAAAGACCATATCTCTAATTTTGTTTAGTTTTTATATATCTGATAAATTTTTGTACTTAAAATGGTAATTTTAAATTGATATTAAATAAATAAGAGAAATAAAAATATTTATGGTTTATAGATAAAAAAATATTTGAATGTGACTTCTTTTTTATTTTTATTTTTTGAATAATAATTAAATATTTTATTTTTTTCAAAATTAAATTAAATAATAAAAATTAAATTTAGAATGAATATTAGTGAATCCAACATGTCTCCCATTTGACAGGTCCAAAATTAATGTTGGTTGCGAACAAAATGTGGAGTGCTGGAGAACAGCAGTCTTTGTTACACGAATTCTAATGTCACATGAAAAGTTTGAATTGGTCTTCTTTCTATTAATTATTAAATTGTGTATCACCTGCATTCCTCAAAGTCTTAATAAAAAACATTTTTTCACACTTTTTTTGAATGTTTTTACATGAATTTTCTAAGAAAAATAATATGCCCATTAACAGGTTTCTACATCAAAATAAATATAATTTGGCAACTAAATTTTTTAGAAATATAATTATTTGAGAGTTATTTTAAGAATAATTTTATTATACTATATTTTAAATTATTAAGTTATTATTATTTTTATATAAATAAGATGAATAAAATGTTATTATCAGTTAAAATAGGAGAAGGCAATATTGTGAAGTGAATGATGTTACTTAGGAGACGTTGTCTCCCACTGAGGGCCCTTGGGAATTGACCCATCTCTAATTCAAAAGAAAAACTCAAATATATTTATAATTTTATTTTAAATAATATTTTAATTTAATTTATATCTAATAAAATATATTTTTAAGTAAAATAAATACTTTAATATCTTTTAAATTACTTTAAATTGAGATAATTTTCTTAAAAATCATAAATAATTTTTAATTAATTAGATAATATAGTGTTTATAATAAATATTATAGTTTTTAATATTTTTAAGAAATAATTAACTTCAAAATTTATTTATTTTTCATGTTGAATAAATTAATGAACAACGTTCACACAATTAACTACTTTTTTTCTATTAATAAATATTAAAATTACAAGCTTAAAAGTCATTAAACATATTAATAAATTAAATAAATCACAACATTATCATATTTTTAAAAATAAATAAAATCTATAAGATTTGTTAGAAAAAATAACATTAATCACTAATATAATTAAACAACATTAGAAATATTTAATCATTAAATTTACAACTTTTATCATAAAAGACAATATTTTCTAAATAAATTCATTATTTAAAATTTTAAAATTATTATTTTAATTTAAAATAATTTAAATATATATGTAAGGATTTATTTATTTAAAATATATATTTTATTTAGATTTATACTAAATTATGTAATTATTCAAAAGAAATTTTTAATTATTTTGAAGTAAAATTTAAACAAATAATTTTAAATTATGTGTGAGAAAATATTAAAAAAGAAAAATGAAAAAAGAGAGGTACAGGTAAGACAAAACAATAAGAGAAATTAAAAAAAAATGATTATTAAATAGAATATAATGGCTTGTGTATAAACATGACATAGATGAGTGTGATATTAGAATTCCTGTTGAAATAGAAACTTATACACTATATAAACTACGTATACAATTTTCCTATTTGCTAAACAGAAAAGAAATAGGGACAATACAAAAACACATATTGAGTGAAAAATAAAAATAAAATATTTATTATTAAGAAAAATTATTAGTTGTTAATATTATTGTGAATATTAAAAAAATTATTATTATAATAATGTCTAATATGAAATAATTATTTATTTTATTTATTATCCTTTTAAAATATTATCATATAATAAAATTATTAAAATAGACTCTTACATCTCCCATGCATTTAGTCGGAATTAAAATTGACTACATTGTTGATAAATCAAATCAATAAAATTGTGCACAATATCTAAAGAGTGTGTTATGTAAGAAAATATCTAAGAACTTCATTTATATATATATATATATATATATATATATATATATATATATATATATATATATCACAAAAGATTTACAGAAATAACTATGAATAAATTATTTATATATGCATTTTTAATCAATATTTTGATAATCCAGCTGATGCTGACATGATAAAAATATAGAGTTAAGAGTCTAGGTGAAGTTCACAAGATTTATAAAATAATATATTTTATAAAATATAACAATCTATTAAATATAAAAATTATTTATTATTGATTATAATATTTTAATATAATAATAATAAAAGTATAAGTGATTTAGTATGGTTAAAGTTTTATCGGTTAACTAGAAATTAAATAAAAAAAGTTAATTATTTAAATTTTATTCTCACACAATCATCATGGTAACTCTCTTTCTTTATTTTTTTTCTCTAACTTAATCACCTCCTTTTTCATCTTTTTCTATATCAAAACACACCTTAATATTTTTGAAATAAAGAAAAATATTTTTAACTGATCATACATAAAGAAATTTTCTTTTTGCCTGATTTTTTTAGTATTTATGTGTAAATTTGAAGGGTTTGCATGTGGAGTCCAAGGTACATGCATATGGGTTTTATCGGACAAAAAATAATATTGACTAAATTAGGAGCATTATGGTATATTAAATTTATTAATTGAAATTTTCTATAAATAAAATATGACTTCTTGAGCGCTTATGAGTTTTTGAAATTTTTGGAATAAGAGATTATGAAATTGAGATAAGGAAAGTTAGTAAATATTTAATTTCTATAATATTTTAAGCTAAAATATATGGATTGTGACTTGGTCACATTGAAATTTGATTGTTGGTATTGTATCTTAAACTATGATTGAATGATTTTATTTAAAGTAATTATGTCTGTAAAAGTTAGGATAGGATATATTTGGACTAGATATATAACATGCAAATTTAGAAGAAAATTGTGTAATTCGGTCTTAAATGATTATGTTTGGTTCATGGAAACTAGATTGGTTTGTATTTTATATGTCTTATATTTATATATTTTGCTCAAGCGATATAGTTTGATGCTCAAACTAAATGTGTCGCAAAGATAAGAGTTCTTCTTAAGTGTATTATCATTCAAGTGAAATACCTCTCCCAAGTGAAATAATTCTCGCTCAAGCGAAAATATTTTATTCAAGAAAAAAACTCTCAACAAAATAAAATTTGTTTTCCTAATATATTTTTGCTTAAGGAAATGAATTTTTGCTCGAATAAAAGGACATCTTGCTTAAGCGAAAATTTTCTAGAGAAGTAGGTGATTGATTTTCTTAAGGATTTTTTACTGAAGCAAAAAATTTCTATTTTAAAAGGTTAAAAATGAT